AAGTTCTCAAACGGCGTGGAATCACGCAGCGGATGGCGATTGACCATCCGGAAGCTTGTCATTGTACGAGCCTCGCCCGTACGTCCGAGCACAGGGGATGCTACGAGCCACCAGAGCCAATGCAAGGCTGTGTGAGCGTCACGTGACCTTGAAGAGGGAAAACAGTGACGCGCGGAAAGCGTACCACGGGCTGCGTTCACACGTTCATGCAAAGCGTGTATTCCTGCGTGTTTCTTTCTTTTTTTTTAAATTAGACAAAAACTTGTTTTTCTGTCAAAACATTGCGACTAGGACTGTGCCTACAGAGTCGGAAAAAGTTTGAAGGTCATTTTTCATGTGTTTTCTTCCTGCCCGATTCGTCCGAGAACGTGAATAGGGACATGAAAAAGGAAAACCAGACACCGGCGTACCACAACTGTTTGTGCGGGAAGCACTTTGGGTTGAATTTGCGGACACTTGTGGTCGTCAGATTTATTGGTTTTATTCCAGTATGAACGCGGGAAAACCGCAAAGTTTTACGGACCGCCTGCGGACTACGTTCAGTTTGTCTTCAGTTCGAAACCCGCCTGATAGTTCAAACTGTCGTCTGCTCTAAAACGTTCCTGCTTGTTGTTTTCTGCTCGTTCAAACGACAGCGGCCCGTAGACCAAACGTCCGGTCATTGCGGTAAAAAGTAAGTGCAGGACTCAAAATACTAAGTTTGAAGTTTGGTAGGAATTAATAGGCTCGGTGTAAACAGTAGATACAAACATATGTTGATAATTGTTACGAGTGGCGATCACCGACTTGTTATGCCTGATTCACATGGTCCGATTCTGCTTGCGATTTTCAGTATCGACGTCGACCATCTCAGCTACGGTTCACGCTGTTGCAGACCGAGCGACGTCATGACTGAAAATAGCGAGCAGAATCTCAGCGTGTGGATCAGGCTTTAGCGTCTATTATGCGGCGTCCACGCAGAATGTATCACCGCATGTCACATATTCACGCGAAGTTTTGCGGTGTAACGAGCCTCGGTAATTTCGCTGAGGCCGTTCAAGTAGTCAGACATTGCCAGGAAGACGTAGAATCAACCATGCCAACGCGAAAAAGAGCACGGGGCTCACACCGACGCCGACAACATCGCATTCCAATGGTTTGTTTACGGGCGACGGCGAGATTTTGCCCACACTCCATCGCGCATGCCCGGCGCCGGTGGCGTCCGCTAGGGGCGCTCCGGTTTGTTTGTAAACATGAGTTGCGGTATAGACTTTCCGGTGAACAACCGCGATCTTCCTCGACGGGGCAGTCAAGTGGTTTTTGAGTTCGTGTTTTGATAATGACAGCTGAATTTAGACGCCTTAAGTATCCCTAAAAACCAAAAAGTATAGTCATACGGTGATTATTTCTTTAATAAGAATGTAATTGAAGGCCGCCAAACCTCGGATCCATCCGAAAACGAAACCACTCTCATTGGTCGTCGCACGCTTATCAAAAGGATCTCGGGCCAATGGCGTTGGACGACGTTCCGTCGCGCAGTGATCCCGAGGTAGCCGCATCGGCCGAACCTCTTTGTCATTCGAGCTTCGATCATGGCGGAGTTCTCTACGCTCGAGGACCTGACGCCGTTAGAGGTTGAAGTTCTTCGGCGGACAGCCGACCTGGGGATGATTTCCTATGACGCCACTCCGACGTGCGATGTGGACGATAGCACCGCTTCGGAGTCATGTTCGGGTTCCGAGGACGACGAAACGCAGACCTTTTCGGGCGTTCTTCGATTTGCGGTTGGGGCAAGTCGTAACCAAACCAACGTTTGACATCGCAGCGTTACCTCTGGTGCGTGATGTCAAACGATGTCGCCACGTTGACTTTCGCCTCGGGAGAACGGGGGGAAGGCTGGTTCAGACATGTGCAACGAGCGCGCACCTATGACTGCGTCCATTGCAACCGCAGCGACCGGAACGACCGCACTGCGCCGCGCGTACACACACCTGTAACCACTACAACAAGCGCAGCGGGTCGTCAGCACGGCGACCGCTTCTGTACGCCGCCGTCAGCTGTGTCAGCGGCCCCTCTAAAAAAGGGGACGCACTGCTACTCAATGCCGTAACAGAATATAGACAGACAGTTTTCTAGTCTAAAGCTTTATTATTTTTTCTTGATAGGCTTGCAGGGTACAGCGAATGAAAAAAATAAAATAAAAAGATGCAGCGCCGTCTTGGACGATCACGACTCTAATACACGACATTGCAATAGTACAAATATCGCCACACGCCTTTTCTACGATTATAAAAGACAATGTAATCTTAGCAGCGATATAGCAACGTAGAAATATGATTTCGTGATCAGATAGACGTGGCGAGCGTTCAGGATTGCTAACACTAATCACTTTTCTCCGGTGATGAAAACGCGTGAAAATTCGTATCCTTTATACGGTACGCGCCAGTAATACCTTGAACTTGAGCACACGCATGAAATGCGCCAAATCAGAAAGCCGGGCGATGTTCGAGGACACAAATGCTTAGAAAGCACCACTGTAGTCGAAGTAAACAAACACGACGGCACGGGCGTTTCTGCTATCTTGAGAGTGCCGCCACGACATCGCCGCACGAGTAGGTGGATGTTCCCTTCTAGTACGTGCTGGGTTATCATAGCGAAACACGACGAAAATTCACAGTCAAGGATAGCGCTTTTACGCGGAACGATGAGCTTTCACCAGGCCGTCCATTCCGACGATCACCACCGACGCCACGTTTCCGGATAGAAGGAGCCGGCCGGCCCGCGACCGGCACGACTGGCCTGCAACCACGACCAACTGGTCGTGGTAGCAACGCGCGGAGATACGTGCGCTTCCGCGCATCCCTGGGGAACGGGAAATTCACCCCCCGCGGAGGAAGGCAAATAGAAAACGTAGTCCCTTGTTTGTGAAACGATAATTGCGCTATCGCGTATTCTAAACTAGAAATAGTTTACGTCTTGTGAAATTATCATGCACAACATATTTAAATGAACTGAAAATTGTTTTTTTAGCGAAACTTTAAAAAGACCGCCAAAATTTTCAAACATACGATAATTTCATTGGTCCTCGCAAGTACAAAAAAGAGTCCGCACGTATTTTATTCCTGCGTGATTAATAGGCGTTTCTGCCTTCTAAAACTGAAGATACTCATTCACTGACACTTCCTTAACACCATCGCACCAAAAAGTAGCTTCTCCAAAAACCGCTTGAGTGTCCCTTTAACGTTGCTGGCTGTCGCGTTTCTGGTGGGGACGTTGCTCGCCGTAGGTCGGCGCCGTTCCCCTTCTGACTCGTCGACGTCAGCGAGGAATCTCAGACGCAGGAGCTCTGTCTGCGAGAGTGTGTTCCGAGGTGGTGTTGGAAGGGGGTGGTGGTACCCTGTGTTCCGAGGTGGTGTTGGAAGGGGTGGTGGTACCTCTGACTTTGCCGGCATTGGCTGCCGCGTGGTTCCCTATTTTCTCTAGCTAAAGAACTACGGGAAAGGGGAGCTGTTAAAAAGGAGCAGCAAGCTTCGAGAGTTGTGATCTACTGAACTGTTGTGAATAAGCAAATGAAACAGAGTTTAAGGGGACGCCGCTTCCTGATTTCGAAACGTCCCTGCCCGTGGTCCACCCGGCTCCTGGCTTGGCCTGGCACTAGGCTGGCCGTCAACATGGTGCAGAGGCTCGGTCACGACACCGCAAAGCTCTAGTATACACCTCGCGACGTGTATATTTGTTAAAATCGACCTTTCTTTAATAACACATGTCTGAATCTGCCCTACGAACTCACTTATGACTTTTTGTAATCGGCAGCCTAGAACTTTGATAAATTCTTTATAGTCGGTGTTACCGAGTGCTATTGGCCTGTAATTCCTAATAATTTTTTAAAACTGTTATCGTCGTCCTCTCGAAGATAAGTACCGTGAATTTGTTCAGATATAACGGTGGGAATTTCTTCGTCTCGTATGCCTCATTTATTACTGTGTGAAGGTACCTGGTGGTGGCATATTTGTATTTCTAATGAAAATCTGCATTCAAGCCATGAGGACTCCGATATTTTTTGCCGACAGTTCGTCATTCGCTTTCTCGATCTCAGCCGCGCTTATCTCATCGCTATAGTCACGGCATCACCACAAGATAATGAAAGAGCTGTGAGTACTTGCAGTCTTTCTTGCGCGCAAAAAAAACTGCAATAATATTCAGTAACTGTCTTTTCTATAATTACGGCACGACCGCTCAGCAATCCTCGGTGTTCTATTTCTGCAATACCTGTCCTTGCTTTGCTTTTATTCCTCGGCACCTTGTGCCCGTTTGGTATCTTGTTTACCGAGAATGTATATCTCGGCGCGAGCACGTATCAGGGCAGCTTTATACTTCTATGCTTCTAGTTCCGCAATATTATCCTGTGTCACGTCGCATCGCCGTGAGTTGAGGTTCTATTTGGCGGGAAAGCACTGCGGTACATCCAGTCTGCATCCAGCAAATAGCAACTCGACACACCTCCACACGTTTTTGAAACCCGGGTTGGCGCCGGTATCTCCAATTCAGGAATGGCTATCGAGTGTACATACCACGCGTTAAGTGAGTCGCTAAACTAACCGATAAAGAGTGCCGAGCGCGTAGACGCCACACGTTTCATCCGGAAAACAATTGCCCTGCAATGTTTCATTCGTTTCTGGTTAAACCCTTTCCTGAGCGTCGTCCTTGGCAGGGATGGTTCTACTGTAAGCCGTAATTCTTCGTCTCGTTTTCCGCTGGACAGTGAACTCGCATTGTTTTTTTGGAGTAGATGACATTTTTGCGCCTCCTCCGAATGTAACGGTACACTCATACGACACTGCATTGACGTCGATGGCCCGTACCGTCCTCCGTGGCCCATCGTAAGGGGAAAGCGAGTATAGTTGGTGCATAAGTGCTGCAGCCATCTTCTTTGAAGCTACTGCGTTCGTTATACGCGCCCGATCCTCGTCGACCCGCACCCCCCGGGGACGGACAAGGGGGATCAATCGACGCCGACTCACCGGAGCATCCAGCGATGACCGAGACGAGACTGAGCGGCAGGGCGGCCTCTTCGCGCGTGATGCCGAACGTCTGGATGAGCTGCACGTACACGACGGCCATGGAGCGGATCAGGCCCCGGTGGAAGAAGTTCATCCATGCGCACGAGAAGGCGATCATCCACCGCCACCCGGACCCCTGCCGCCGCCCCGCCGGCTCGTTGCTCTGCTGGGGATACAAAGAAACACAAATCAGCGCATCGTCCCATTTTTGGACCCTGGCGTGCGACTTCCATTAGAGAGTCTTAGTAGATCGTTTCGACTCCTTTGATACCCCCGATAACCATACCAGATAACGATTAGCCACATATGGAAAGGCGGCGACGAAACATCGGGCAACATTACTGAAGTCATCGGAGCAATCTACTCAAACTTGGTAGTGTGCCACGTGACAGATAGCTGGAGCGGTAAATGATACGCATTCTCTAACAGCCCCAAACACACCCCAAGGCTGAGTCTAACACAGTCCATAATGCCCTATACAAAGTACACTCAACTGTGCTACAGACCAGGGGTTTCCAAACTTTTTGGCTAAGGGGGGGGGGGGGGGGGGGGGGGGCTCATCAGGGAGGGCCTCATCGTCTCGCGGGCCGTACTATAAGTAAGCAAAAATAAACCGGGAAAAACGAAATAAATAATTGTAGATAAGCATGTAAAAGTAAAATTGAAAGTTGGAATAAAAATTAAAAAAATAAGAATCTATAATGGCTGAATATATCTACTTGATTCTGAAACCCAATATTTAGCTAATTATGAGGTTACAAAATAATTGTTACCTAGAAAACTCATCAGGCATAACTCAAAGCGCATAGGGACTTTAACTTGTTTTAACGGGGCAGAAGACTGAAGAGAAGGATGGAGCCGATGCTGACAATATTCGATACATACGACACAGGAGACTGGCAGAATATACACCGGAACGGAAAATATACCAAGTTACGGAGATACAAAACAGCGAAGAAATAATGGTTATGGTGATGAGGACAAAGTCCAACGGAGAATATGACGAGAAAACACGTTTTGCGATAATCGATTTGCACCTTTTATTTTTCTTGTACCTTTGTTTTCCCGGCAGGTGCGCGCGTTGCGTCGCCCTTTGTTTGCGCACGTTTATTTTTGCGGCGGTGCAGAAGGGTCAGCGGGCCAGGTTTCATTTCAAGGGCAGCGGTCAGCCGCGGGCCTGTCGGTAGACTGGCGCGAATCGGGTTTGGGGACCCTGCTATAGCTCCCCGCCTTCCCCAGATTTACCATCCTGGATACATTTCGGAACAGAAGGTTGACAACAGGTTGGCAGCCCCGATAATCTCAGAGTTCCTGGTGATAGCCAACGGCAGCTTAAGAAAAAGCAGTGCGCAGCGAGTCCCTGAGCATCTTAATTATTTTTGGCGCGCGCTCAATGAGATCGAGCATTGCCTCCTCTATACTACCAAAGCGGTTCGACGACGAAGCCATCGAGTGCCCGGTCGAAGATTTGGAGCGCGAGGATCTGGTAGCACACAGCAGCAAAGAGCCATTTCTCGGGGAACCTGTTCGTCAGCGCACAGCCTTTGCAGCGGCGAGGACCCGAAACAGACTTGTTCGGTCGGGAGAAGTGTGTTTCGGCGTCTCACCGCAGCGGGGCGCCAGCCATGTGGCTCTCCTCTCATCCGTTTTCTGTCGCTCCAACTTTTCCATTTCTGCGACCGCTTTTCATGGCGATCTTCCAGGCTTTGCCAGTATATAGAAGACCTTGGATTGAGGCATTTTCGGATAAGAATGGCAATAGACAAAGCGCTAAGAAAGGTGCGCGAACATAATAGACCATGCCCTGCGTTTCTTAAGCTCTTAGTGATAAGATGGACTATGACGCCGCGACGTCGCCTCGTAATAGCAACCGGGAAACAAGCGCGAAGCGACACATCAAGTCGTCACAATCCGCGCACCGCCGCCGTCCCTCGAGACGCTAATGAGGATAACACAAATGCTTTCCAATCCTCGTGGCGGATAATCGGCTCAATCCTGACAGTGCAGACCCGTCGCGGCATTGCCAACATTCTGCACCAATCGTGTCCACGGGGTGTCATCGGCGTAATCAAGGACACTGCGCTCCACTCTCGCTCGGTGAATCAGAACAATGCCCGTGTGCAGGACTACGGAAAGTCAAAGTCTTCACTTATGGAGGTATTCTTTCCGGAATAATTAAATTTAAGCACACACACACACACAAAAAAAAAAGAAGAACCAGGAGAGGTTAAGCTGACTTTTCTTGTTTAAATGGACGCGGACACCCGCGAGAGTTTGAAGAGGATATAAGCAATACTTCCCTCGTTTCACGAAATTGAGGATTTTTTTAAAAACTTTAACTACGAAGCCTTAGTTGCGTTATTGTTACTGTCGCCTGAATACACGCGGGGCAAGATTTAATATGTTGCTTGCCCCTGCCTCGTGTGGGTGGGTGAAAGCAAAGGCTAGCAGCCTTTGTGTCTACTCAGTGTTGGAACGCGTTCGAACGCGCTACACTGCACGAGGAGCCGACGACGCACTTGTTCGCTTTGATTAGAGGAGGAAAGCGAGACAAAGGCAGCTCTATTCTGTTTCACCTTATGATGTACCGCAGGAAAGGCTACAAGCACGAGCTCCTTTCTCTAGGGCACATCTCGGCGGCACAAGCTCTCGTGCGTTAAGAGCAGCTCCCAACGCTATGGGCTCGCGCTTCTAGCCTTCTCTGCGGTACAAAATAAGGTGAAACGGAGTATAGACTGCCTCTATCATAGCCTCCTAATACGTACAAAGCCTAGCAGATCGCCACGAGGAGCGGCCGCCGAAATGAAAAAGGTGGAGCGGCAGACAACGAATGAAAGAAGAGCCATGTGACTGGCGCCCCGCTGTGGCGAGACGCCGAAACGCACTTCTCACAAGCGAACAAGTGTGTTCCGGGTCCTAGCCGCTGCAAAAGCTGTGCGCTGACGTCCAGGTTTTCCGAGAAATGGCTCTTTGATGCTCGGTGCTACCAGACCCTCCCGCTCCATATCAACGACCGAGCACTCTGTGCCGCCGTCGTCGAACTGCTAGACGCTCTGACGTCCACCCGCGCTCTCGCATCCACCTCTCCCCGGTGTTTCTCCGTATTCGGTGGTAGCCCCAATTAAATCCGGCCCTGGCGGCGAATGCGAGGCACGACACAAGGAGCCATACAGGTTTGTGGTTTTCTCGCTGCTGTGCAATCTATTCTTCGCCTTAGAGGGAAGGTTCGAATTTTATCCTAACCGCGCGCCTCCATACTTCTCCCAGTTTTCGAATTATTTTATTCCTAAAATACAAAAAACGGCCATGTCCGCGCGCGTGTGCTGCATCGCTCGTATCTATAACCTGCAGAGCAGAACAAGGCGAGAAATCCTGCATTCGCAAGGGCAAAAAAAAAAAAAAAAAGTAATAAATTTGACACACAGTATTATTTAAGCAATGAGCTAGTAACGAATGAGAATAAAGTAAAATACCTCGGAGTCATTTTGTCATCCGACTGCACGTGGGATTCGCAAATTGATGATGTCATTATATGGGCGGGTCGCGCACTGGGCTTTGTCCAAAGAAACCTAAAAAACGCTACACAAAAAATAAAAGAACTAGCATATCTTGCCTATGTAAGGCCACTTCTAGATTACGCATGCACTGTGTGGGACCCTTCCAAAAAAAATCGCATTGATGGCTTGGAAAAAATACAAAATCGTGCCGCACGCTTCGTCCTGGGCCAGTACGACCGTTTTTCTAGTGTAACTAACATGAAACAATCACTAGGATGGGCGTCATTGGATCTTCGGCGAAAAAATTTACGGTTGAAATTTTTATACAACATTTATCATGAAGCTACTGGTATTAATAGCTCATCACACCTCTTAAAACCAAATTATTTTTCCAAACGTAATGATCATGTGCACAAGATACGCGAATACTGTACTAGGACAGAGCTCTGCAAAAATTCGTTTTTTGTGAGGACGGTCAAGGACTGGAACGCTTTACAAGAATGTATAGTTTGTGCTGCAAATGTTGATATGTTCTTTTCGTTATTATTCGCCCCCTGCAATAATGCCTTCTAGGCGCTGCAGGAGTTCCCTGAATAAAGAATAAAGAACCCACTGATTTTACCTAACTTACTTCTTCGGGTCAAAACCTACGACCAGGATGTACTTGAAAATTAATATATAACAAAGAAACCCATGTTTCTATTGTTTTGGTAGGAAAATTCGTGTATAAGTTATTTGTAGAGATCATATAAAATATTTACAAACCTAAAATGAGCAAAGTTCGTCGCTCTGGTCCTTCGGTATATGACACGAATGAATAGTACCGCTAACAAAGTATACAATGTGGAAAGCAACCGAATTACATGAAACTCCGTGGCTCTTGGTTAATTGGGAAGAACTTGAACAAAAATATTAAAAAAAAAAAACATGTCAGATTGAGCGTTTTGCAACGCGCGTGGAGACATGTATACCGCCCATTGCTTGCACAATTCTTTCGTTTTGTCATACATTTGTTTTTTGATAAGTTTCGCTTTGACAAGCTCTAAGTGAATTGAACGGGGGTCCCGCATGCAGAACATGTCGGGCGTACGTGGGGCACAAAATGCCGTGAATCGTGCGCCACCTACAGATGACGTTGAAATGAATTGGAGGGACCTGGGCTTGAAGAGACGCGGAGTTAAAAGAAGTAAAGCGCACAAATTGGATGTGGCTACGACGAACTACTGCTTATTATTTCTACGCATCAACACAAGGTTACCGAAATTCTTACCGCCGATCTACAGCTTTGAAATAAAACTATACCCGCGTTTGGTCTATGAGCGAAATAGAAAACGATATTAAAACATGCGCAGGGCTGCAGCCCCCGCTAAATATTATGGAGATTCCTTAAAATGATGTTTCAATGAGTTTTAGAAAGAAGGAAACTACGATGGGATTACGAGAAGGTAAAACAAAGGTTAAAAACGCGTATTCTAGGGCCACGTTGAACCACTTCTAAAACGGTCCGGAAAAGGTCAAGGGGTGAAATAATGATTAAAGTTGTACAGCCTTTCAGTGTTCGTCTATACCTTCCCAGCGCTTGCCACCCGGGAGAAAAATTCTGGGTCACCGAACTGGTGGACATGTGTGTCATATGATATTCCAATAAAGAGAGCTACTGCGCACG